GTCTATAGTCTAGTCTATAGTCTAGTCTATAGTCTAGTCTATAGTCTAGTCTATAGTCTATTCTATAGTCTAGTCTATAGTCTAGTCTATAGTCTAGTCTATAGTCTAGTCTATAGTCTAGTCTAGTCTAGTCTCTATAGTCTAGTCTATAGTCTAGTCTATAGTCTAGTCTATAGTCTAGTCTATAGTCTAGTCTATAGTCTAGTCTATAGTCTAGTCTATAGTCTAGTCTATAGTCTAGTCTATAGTCTAGTCTATAGTCTAGTCTATAGTCTAGTCTATAGTCTAGTCTAGTCTATAGTCTAGTCTATAGTCTAGTCTATAGTCTAGCCTATAGTCTAGTCTATAGTCTAGTCTATAGTCTAGTCTATAGTCTAGTCTATAGTCTAGTCTATAGTCTAGTCTATAGTCTAGTCTATAGTCTAGTCTATAGTGTAGTCTATAGTGTAGTCTATAGTCTAGTCTATAGTCTAGTCTATAGTCTAGTCTATAGTCTAGTCTATAGTCTAGTCTATAGTCTAGTCTATAGGCTAGTCTATAGTCTAGTCTATAGTCTAGTCTATAGTCTAGTCTATAGTCTATAGTCCATAGTTTATTCTATAGTCTAGTCTATAGTCTAGTCTATAGTCTAGTCTATAGTCTAGTCTATAGTCTAGTCTATAGTCTAGTCTATAGTCTAGTCTATAGTCTAGTCTATAGTCTAGTCTATAGTCTAGTCTATAGTCTAGTCTATAGTCTAGTCTATAGTCTAGTCTATAGTCTAGTCTATAGTCTAGTCTATAGTCTAGTCTATAGTCTAGTCTATAGTCTAGTCTATAGTCTAGTCTATAGTCTAGTCTATAGTCTAGTCTATAGTCTAGTCTATAGTCTAGTCTATAGTCTAGTCTATAGTCTAGTCTATAGTCTAGTCTATAGTCTAGTCTATAGTCTAGTCTATAGTCTAGTCTATAGTCTAGTCTATAGTCTAGTCTATAGTCTAGTCTATAGTCTAGTCTATAGTCTAGTCTATAGTCTAGTCTATAGTCTAGTCTATAGTCTAGCCTATAGTCTAGTCTATAGTCTAGTCTATAGTCTAGTCTATAGTCTAGTCTATAGTCTAGCCTATAGTCTAGTCTATAGTCTAGTCTATAGTCTAGTCTATAGTCTAGTCTATAGTCTAGTCTATAGTCTAGTCTATAGTCTAGTCTATAGTCTAGTCTATAGTCTAGTCTATAGTCTAGTCTATAGTCTAGTCTATAGTCTAGTCTATAGTCTAGTCTATAGTCTAGTCTATAGTCTAGTCTATAGTCTAGTCTATAGTCTAGTCTATAGTCTAGTCTATAGTCTAGTCTATAGTCTAGTCTATAGTCTAGTCTATAGTCTAGTCTATAGTCTAGTCTATAGTCTAGTCTATAGTCTAGTCTATAGTCTAGTCTATAGTCTAGTCTATAGTCTAGTCTATAGTCTAGTCTATAGTCTAGTCTATAGTCTAGTCTATAGTCTAGTCTATAGTCTAGTCTATAGTCTAGTCTATAGTCTAGTCTATAGTCTAGTCTATAGTCTAGTCTATAGTCTAGTCTATAGTCTAGTCTATAGTCTAGTCTATAGTCTAGTCTATAGTCTAGTCTATAGTCTAGTCTATAGTCTAGTCTATAGTCTAGTCTATAGTCTAGTCTATAGTCTAGTCTATAGTCTAGTCTATAGTCTAGTCTATAGTCTAGTCTATAGTCTAGTCTATAGTCTAGTTATAGTCTAGTTTATAGTCTAGTCTATAGTCAAGTCTATAGTCTAGTCTATAGTCTAGTCTATAGTCTAGTCTATAGTCTAGTCTATAGTCTAGTCTATAGTCTAGTCTATAGTCTAGTCTATAGTCTAGTCTATAGTCTAGTCTATAGTCTAGTCTATAGTCTAGTCTATAGTCTAGTCTATAGTATAGTCTAGTCTATAGTCTAGTCTATAGTCTAGTCTATAGTCTAGTCTATAGTCTAGTCTATAGTCTAGTCTATAGTCTAGTCTATAGTCTAGTCTATAGTCTAGTCTATAGTCTAGTCTAGTCTATAGTCTAGTCTATAGTCTAGTCTATAGTCTAGCCTATAGTCTAGTCTATAGTCTAGTCTATAGTCTAGTCTATAGTCTAGTCTATAGTCTAGTCTATAGTCTAGTCTATAGTCTAGTCTATAGTCTAGTCTATAGTCTAGTCTATAGTCTAGTCTATAGTCTAGTCTATAGTCTAGTCTATAGTCTAGTCTATAGTCTAGTCTATAGTCTAGTCTATAGTCTAGTCTATAGGCTAGTCTATAGTCTAGTCTATAGTCTAGTCTATAGTCTAGTCTATAGTCTATAGTCCATAGTTTATTCTATAGTCTAGTCTATAGTCTAGTCTATAGTCTAGTCTATAGTCTAGTCTATAGTCTAGTCTATAGTCTAGTCTATAGTCTAGTCTATAGTCTAGTCTATAGTCTAGTCTATAGTCTAGTCTATAGTCTAGTCTATAGTCTAGTCTATAGTCTAGTCTATAGTCTAGTCTATAGTCTAGTCTATAGTCTAGTCTATAGTCTAGTCTATAGTCTAGTCTATAGTCTAGTCTATAGTCTAGTCTATAGTCTAGTCTATAGTCTAGTCTATAGTCTAGTCTATAGTCTAGTCTATAGTCTAGTCTATAGTCTAGTCTATAGTCTAGTCTATAGTCTAGTCTATAGTCTAGTCTATAGTCTAGTCTATAGTCTAGTCTATAGTCTAGTCTATAGTCTAGTCTATAGTCTAGTCTATAGTCTAGTCTATAGTCTAGTCTATAGTCTAGTCTATAGTCTAGTCTATAGTCTAGTCTATAGTCTAGTCTATAGTCTAGTCTATAGTCTAGTCTATAGTCTAGTCTATAGTCTAGTCTATAGTCTAGTCTAGTCTAGTCTATCGTTAGTCTATAGTCTAGTTTATAGTCTAGTCTATAGTCTAGTCTATAGTCTAGTCTATAGTCTAGTCTATAGTCTAGTCTATAGTCTAGTCTATAGTCTAGTCTATAGTCTAGTCTATAGTCTAGTCTATAGTCTAGTCTATAGTCTAGTCTATAGTCTAGTCTATAGTCTAGTCTATAGTCTAGTCTATAGTCTAGTCTATAGTCTAGTCTATAGTCTAGTCTATAGTCTAGTCTATAGTCTAGTCTATAGTCTAGTCTATAGTCTAGTCTATAGTCTAGTCTATAGTCTAGTCTATAGTCTAGTCTATAGTCTAGTCTATAGTCTATCATAGTCTAGTCTATAGTCTAGTCTATAGTCAGTTTCTATAGTCCGTCTATAGTCTAGTCTATAGTCTAGTCTATAGTCTAGTCTATAGTCTAGTCTATAGTCTAGTCTATGTCAGTCTATAGTCCGTCTATAGTCTAGTCTATAGTCTAGTCTATAGTCTAGTCTATAGTCTAGTCTATAGTCTAGTCTATAGTCTAGTCTATAGTCTAGTCTATGTCTAGTCTATAGTCTAGTCTATAGTCTAGTCTATAGTCTAGTCTATAGTCTAGTCTATTAGTCTAGTCTATAGTCTAGTCTATAGTCTAGTCTATAGTCTAGTCTATAGTCTAGTCTATAGTCTAGTCTAAAGTCTAGTCTATAGTCTAGTCTATAGTCTAGTCTATAGTCTATAGTTTAGTCTATAGTCTATAGTTTAGTCTATAGTCTAGTCTATAGTCTAGTCTATAGTCTAGTCTATAGTCTAGTCTATAGTCTAGTCTATAGTCTAGTCTATAGTCTAGTCTATAGTCTAGTCTATAGTCTAGTCTATAGTCTAGTCTATAGTCTAGTCTATAGTCTAGTCTATAGTCTAGTCTATAGAGTCTATAGTCTAGTCTATAGTCTAGTCTATAGTCTAGTCTATAGTCTAGTCTATAGTCTAGTCTATAGTCTAGTCTATAGTCTAGTCTATAGTCTAGTCTATAGTCTAGTCTATAGTCTAGTCTATAGTCTAGTCTATAGTCTAGTCTATAGTCTAGTCTATAGTCTAGTCTATAGTCTAGTCTATAGTCTAGTCTATAGTCTAGTCTATAGTCTAGTCTATAGTCTAGTCTATAGTCTAGTCTATAGTCTAGTCTATAGTCTAGTCTATAGTCTAGTCTATAGTCTAGTCTATAGTCTAGTCTATAGTCTAGTCTATAGTCTAGTCTATAGTCTAGTCTATAGTCTAGTCTATAGTCTAGTCTATAGTCTAGTTTATAGTCTAGTCTATAGTCTAGTCTATAGTCTAGTCTATAGTCTAGTCTATAGTCTAGTCTATAGTCTAGTCTATAGTCTAGTCTATAGTCTAGTCTATAGTCTAGTCTATAGTCTAGTCTATAGTCTAGTCTATAGTCTAGTCTATAGTCTAGTCTATAGTCTAGTCTATAGTCTAGTCTATAGTCTAGTCTATAGTCTAGTCTATAGTCTAGTCTATAGTCTAGTCTATAGTCTAGTCTATAGTCTAGTCTATAGTCTAGTCTATAGTCTAGTCTATAGTCTAGTCTATAGTCTAGTCTATAGTCTAGTCTATAGTCTAGTCTATAGTCTAGTCTATAGTCTAGTCTAGTCTATAGTCTAGTCTATAGTCTAGTCTATAGTCTAGTCTATAGTCTAGTCTATAGTCTAGTCTATAGTCTAGTCTATAGTCTAGTCTATAGTCTAGTCTATAGTCTAGTCTATAGTCTAGTCTATAGTCTATTCTATAGTCTAGTCTATAGTCTAGTCTATAGTCTAGTCTATAGTCTAGTCTATAGTCTAGTCTATAGTCTAGTCTATAGTCTAGTCTATAGTCTAGTCTATAGTCTAGTCTATAGTCTAGTCTATAGTCTAGTCTATAGTCTAGTCTATAGTCTAGTCTATAGTCTAGTCTATAGTCTAGTCTATAGTCTAGTCTATAGTCTAGTCTATAGTCTAGTCTATAGTTTACTCTATAGCCTAGTCTATAGCCTAGTCCATACTCTAGTCTACAGTCTAGTGAATACTCTAGTCTACAGTCTAGTGTAGTGTAGTCTATTCTTAGGTTTTTAAAATCCATTTTACCTTTTTACGAAATATACCCTTCGAATGTAAATTTAAATTATCCGCCGCAAACTTTTCAATATCACATTCCTTCATGCAAGCCAACGTGGGTATGCCCCCCAGACCTTGAGGAGCTCTTTCACTAGGTGGAAAGATTTGTTGTATCGTCGGCTTAAGATTAGGCGGTGGCAATGGTCGACGCATCATACTGCCACCAACAATATTCGCGCTTTCGCCATCTTTGGTATAGGGATGTGGTGGCGGTGGTGGCATGGGTAAACGACCACCGATGCCAGTGCCACTGTCTTGAGAATTTTGTGCTATGCGTGAAATTTGGCGATTGGGTGAGGGTAATGTTTGAGATTGTTTCGATTTATCGGCAGAACCATCTAATTGCAAGTGATGATGAGAGGCAGAGGATGAAGGATGACCGGGTGGCAATGGTGGAGCATTTGAATAGAGTTGTTGTGGCTGCTGTTGCTGTGGAGAATGATGATGATGAGTGGATTGCTGTTGGGTGTTGTAATGATGTTGTGATTGTTGCTGATTGAGAGTAGAAGGTGTATGTGTAGTGGCGGTATCATAATACTGATAACGTGAAGAAGGCTTTGATTTTTGTGAATTCATTTCGGAACCTATGCCCTCCAAGACAGCTTCCACATTGTCGGAACTAATAATAAAAATACATTTTTTAAGAAAAATAAAGATTTTACTATTATTAAATTTTTTCTTACATATCTTCTCTGGCAGCTGGATCATATGGTGGATATTGATAGGCATAATATGAGACACTATCACCCATATTAGCATAGTCTTCAATCATACCATAATTGTGCTCTAAATAACCACCATGTGTATCCGAACCGCCATCTGAATCTTCATTATCGGGCTCATGTCCCGACAACGATTGCTCCGACTGACTGTCCGAATGATAGGAATCGGAGTCAATAGGATCACCGAATACATAACGCCCCGATAACTTGGCCTGTTCGATAATATAGTGTTTCAAAGGCAATAAATGTTCTTGCATTTCCTACGGGGGGAAAGATTTTAATCAGAAAGAGTTCGAATTGGTTTTCGTTGAAATATACAAACTTACCGAATCCCAGTTGCTGTATAAAGGCGATATATTACCATTATCATATTCCACATCACTATTATCGGCCTGTAAATTATGATGTCTGTCTTTGGCTTTGCGAGAATGACGTTTATTATCCTGTGGATAATAATCATTAGAATGACGTGACTGTTTGTCCTGGAAAATAAAAAATTGTTTTAGTTTCAGCAAGGATTTTATTAATATTTTAAAAATTTATTAAAATTAACGACTTACCAAACTCATAGAATTATGACCACGAGAACGGTTATCCTGATGTTGAGACCATGACCCAGTTGTAGAGGTCTTGTGTTTACCTCTCGAATCATTGGAGCCCCTAGAGGAATGAGTCAACATGCCAATGTTGTCGGAAGAAGGAAAATTCTTTGAAGTAATATTATTCGAACCACTCATGTGGCTAGTAATATCACTCAAATGAGGCGAAGTGGTTTTGCCTCCACCACTAACACCACCTCCTTCCCTCAGCGATAAACGATCCAAATTTAATAATTCTAAACTACAAGAAGAATCTTGTTTAAAATGTGAATGACTAGATAATGAAGGCTGCTGTTGGCCCGAACACGTGGAATGGCCTCCGGGTGAATGTAACATGGGAGTACCCCGTTCGCCCATTATGTTAGGCGAGGCTTTGAGGGGTTTATTTTTATTACTGTGTGGACTAATGGGACTCTGAGGTGAAGAGTCACTAGAATGTTTCATATTGCTGCCAGCACTGCCTCCAGTGCCATGACCACTGCTGGCGCTAGCGGCCCCACTGGAGCCTTTGGGTGTGGTAGTGTGGCGACGGCGTGAGAGAGGCGTATTCTCCACGGATTTAAAATATTTCTCATGCATGGAATCATCGCTAGCCGCTCCCCCATTGCCACCATTACCACCACCCACTATACAAGCAGCGCTGGCAGGTGAAACACCCACGCCATTGGCAGTTTCGGCCGCGGAACGACGATAAGATTTGCTATGATGTCCGGCAGCAGAAGGATTTATAGAAGATGACATAAAGCTACCCGATCTGGCCAAGGAGACCTTATAATCACGTTCCCTTTCTGAAAGAAAAAAAAAATACTTTAATACATTTTTTATTAAAATAAATCAAGACAGCTCACCACTTCCTCCATATTCCATAGTTTGTCGTGTGGATGTTGATGACTTACTGCCAACACTGCCCGTAGTACTGCCACCTCCAACACTGCCCACCAACGAACGTTGCTGTGAATTAAATGTCGGCTGAGGCTGCTGTTGGGGATATTGCTGTAAATGATGAGCATCCGGTGAGATTTTCTTTTTCGTTTGGGGCGTATGCATTGTTGGTGAACTCATTTCGCTGGAACGATGCTGACGTTGAGTACTACTGACATGTGGAATATTATGAGAACTAATGCTCTCTTGCAGCATATCAAAACTAGGTATTAGAGGGGTGTGAAATAACAAACAAAAACATTTAAGTATAAATTATGTTTAAAATGATAGTTTAGAAACGTGATCGCACATGTAATTGCCAACACAGTCTGTCACATAGTAATTGAATAAACATTAGTAATTTCAATTGTTATGATCCCCCATTTGTACTTACCTGCCACTACCTCTTTACGACTACGATGTTTTTGCAATGATCCCAATCTTAAACTTTCGTTTGTGCCACCCCAACCATCCATCCCCGCACCCACCTACACCACTGTTTTTATATGATCATCATGAATCGGCGATAGCCAGTAGTATACTGGAATAGACTAGAATCACTACCGATTTGGCCAGATTCCTTAAAGGGATTATAAGAATCTAGTAGAAAAGGGAAAGTAGTAAAAATAATTTCGATAAAATGTTAAAAAGTTTTAAAAGGAATAAAAATAGAAAGTTATTTAAAAATCCAAGGAAAGATTAGGAGTAGGGGAGGGGGGGGAAGAACGTCAAGGACAGAGCAGCAGCGATGCGAAAGGAGCGAGCAGAGAGAGGAGAGGAAGGAGCGAGAATCGAGGACGTAGCTAAGCGAACAGACGACGAGGAGCGAGCGAGCGAGCGACGGCGAGCGGCGACGACAGCGAGCGAGCGAGCGAGCGAGAGCGAGCGAGCGAGCAGCGAGCGAGCGAGCGAGGAGCGAGCGAGCGAGCGAGCGAGAGCGAGCGAGCGAGCGAGCGAGCGAGCGAGCGAGCGAGCGAGCGAGCGAGCGAGCGAGCGAGCGAGCGAGCGAGCGAGAGCGAGCGAGCGAGCGAGCGAGCGAGCGAAGCGAGCGAGAGCGAGGAGGCGAGCGAGCGAGCGAGCGAGCGAGCGAGCGAGCGAGCGAGCGAGCGAGCGAGCGAGCGAGGAGCGAGCGAGAGAGCGAGCGAGCGAGCGAGCGAGCGAGCGAGCGAGAGCGAGAGATCGATCTATCTATCTATCTATCTATCTATCTATCTATCTATCTATCTATCTATCTATCTATCTACTATCTATCTATATCTATCTATCTATCTATCTATCTATCTATCTATCTATCTATCTATCTATCTATCTATCTATCTATATCTATCTACTATATCTATCTATCTATCTATTATATCTATCTATCTATCTATCTATCCTATCTATCTATCTATCTATCATCTATCTATCTATCATCTATCTATCTATCTATCTATCTTTCTTATCTAATCTATCTATCTATTCTATCTATCTATCTATCTATCTATCTATCTATCTATCTATCTATCTATCTATCTACTCTATCTATCTACTTTGAAGAAAATCTTCTACACTTTTTTTAAACTCAGCAGTATGGCATTTCAACAAACATACATTGGAGTTGCCAATTGATTTCTTTAAAAAACGCTTCATTTTACTGCAGTTTCTTATTTTGGCTAAACATTTCTCATATTAAATAATTTTACACATTTCATTATACTTATTTAGCTAAATTTAACCAAAAATACTAGTTTTTAACAAAAAGAAGTAGGCGTTAAATTTATTTCTTTTCGCTTAAGGCGTAATTGCATAATTTTCTTAGTCCAAAAAAAATCTGGAATTTATGGAAATCAACAACAGCAATGACAAAAAATATAAACTAATTAAAAACATTTAAAATTTTTTATTGGCATCTATCTATAAATAAAATCTATTAAATTGCAATTGAAAATTTAACATCCACTTTTGTGTTACAGTGCAAAGAAAATCAAACAGATAAATAGCCATGTGATAAATATTGCAAAATTGATTTTTTTCTACAATTACATTCCTGTGGAAGTTTAAATATAAACATTTCATTTTAAGAAAAAAATTAAATAAAGTAACAAAAAAATTACTTTGGAAATTAACATAAAGTCAAAGAGCTGAAACTGGGATATGTTAAAAAAATATTTATAAACAGTTTGAGGACAAATAATTCCTGCAAGATGCTTCAATAAAATACATATGAGTAAGTATTACAAGATTATAATTCAATGTAGCGCTTTTTATAGGGCAACACTGATTAAGTGATTTGGTGATGCCATACTATACATGCAAACTTTGCCAGAAATTTTAAGGAATTTCATTTATTATTTCAAGATATTTTATAAAAGATTGCATAATTCTAGTCTATAGTCTAGTCTATAGTCTAGTCTATAGTCTAGTCTAGTCTATAGTCTAGTTTATAGTCTAGTCTATAGTCTAGTCTATAGTCTAGTCTATAGTCTAGTCTATAGTCTAGTCTATAGTCTAGTCTATAGTCTAGTCTATAGATTAGTCTATAGTCTAGTCTATAGTCTAGTCTATAGTCTAGTCTATAGTCTAGTCTATAGTCTAGTCTATAGTCTAGTCTATAGTCTAGTCTATAGTCTAGTCTATAGTCTAGTCTATAGTCTAGTCTATAGTCTAGTCTATAGTCTAGTCTATAGTCTAGTCTATAGTCTAGTCTATAGTCTAGTCTATAGTCTAGTCTATAGTCTAGTCTATAGTCTAGTCTATAGTCTAGTCTATAGTATAGTCTAGTCTATAGTCTAGTCTATAGTCTAGTCTATAGTCTAGTCTATAGTCTAGTCTATAGTCTAGTCTATAGTCTAGTCTATAGTCTAGTCTATAGTCTAGTCTATAGTCTAGTCTATAGTCTTGTCTATAGTAGTCTATAGTCTAGTCTATAGTCTAGTCTATAGTCTAGTCTATAGTCTAGTCTATAGTCTAGTCTATAGTCTAGTCTATAGTCTAGTCTATAGTCTAGTCTATAGTCTAGTCTATAGTCTAGTCTATAGTCTAGTCTATAGTCTAGTCTATAGTCTAGTCTATAGTCTAGTCTATAGTCTAGTCTATAGTCTAGTCTATAGTCTAGTCTATAGTCTAGTCTATAGTCTAGTCTATAGTCTAGTCTACAGTCTAGTCTACAGTCTAGTCTATAGTCTAGTCTATAGTCTAGTCGATAGTCTAGTCTATAGTCTAGTCTATAGTCTAGTCTATAGTCTAGTCTATAGTCTAGTCTATAGTCTAGTCTATAGTCTAGTCTATAGTCTAGTCTATAGTCTAGTCTATAGTATAGTCTATAGTCTAGTCTATAGTCTAGTCTATAGTCTAGTCTATAGTCTAGTCTATAGTCTAGTCTATAGTCTAGTCTATAGTCTAGTCTATAGTCTAGTCTATAGTCTAGTCTATAGTCTAGTCTATAGTCTAGTCTATAGTCTAGTCTATAGTCTAGTCTATAGTCTAGTCTATAGTCTAGTCTATAGTCTAGTCTATAGTCTAGTCTATAGTCTAGTCTATAGTCTAGTCTATAGTCTAGTCTATAGTCTAGTCTATAGTTTAGTCTATAGTTTAGTCTATAGTTTAGTCTATAGTTTAGTCTATAGTCTAGTCTTTAGTATAGTCTATATTCTAATCTAGTCTGTAGTTTAAATTTATACCTTATAAAAATTTTAAATTTTTATAAAAAATGTAAAAATTTTATAAAAATTTTCAAATTTTATAAAAATTTTAAAATATTAAAAATTTTTAAATTTTATAAAAAATTCAAAATTTTATAAAAAAAAATATTTTATAAAAAATTTAAAATTTTGTAAAATGTTTAAAAATTGTTGAAAAATATTTACGTATACTTTATTTTGTCTCACCCTGTTTGGTTTTGTGTGGTTTTCTTTAAAATTGTACATACCTTGTGAACGTCTTGATGATGTTGAGATTTGTTGCATATCCATGGAACGTGATGAATCACCAGTGCCAACGCTATTTTTGGTGTACACGAGCACGCAAAACGATACAAAAAGAAGTTAAAGAGGAAAAAACACGAGAAGAAAAAAAAACATTAAAATACTTGCACAATATTAAGAAAAACAAGGCAGGCAAAGAAAGAGAAAAAACGAAAAATAACAATAATTTTTAATTTAAACAAAAATAAAAATTTGCTTTGAATTTAATAATTTGAGAAGATAAAAGAGACAAAAACAAAATATGTAGTTGAAATAAAAAAGTTGGGCAAACAATTAAACATTATTTTAGACAGACGAAAGGCCTGACAGGCAGACAGTCAATCCAACAAACTACAAAATTAAGTACTTGAGAACAGCATAAACAAACAAAAAAAAAACAAGAGCAAAAATATTCAAATATAAACAAAAGAATAGAATACAATCCGAATACATACCGAAAACTTTGACGCCCACGTGGACTTGAGAGTATTTCGGTGGTTAGTTTCTCTTCCGAACTGGCATGGAATGGCAAACCAGCACTGCTGCGTTTATTAGTGCCACCAATACTACCACCATCCCCTCCCCTTATACTGCCCCCACCGCCAACACTCCCCGCACTGCCCGTAGTGTTGGTGTTGCTATTTTGCGTATGAAGATTATGATGATGACTACTGCTGATGCTGCTGCTGCTATTGCCACGCTGAGATGATGAACGTATTTTAGGCATAGAGGGCGATGAATGCTGTGATGACTGATGATGTTGCGGCTGCTGCTGCGATTGTTGTTGCTGATGCTGTAGCAATTGTTGTTGTAATGTTTGTGTACTAATCTCACGTCGATCACTGGGATCGGTGTTCTGTTTGAGCGTTTGCAATTTAGCCAGTGGTATGATGTCACATTTACTCGGCCTATGCCAGACGGTCTTCTGTGAGGCAGCATTATAGTAATAGAAACGTTGCGTATTTGTATCAAACAATTCCCACCATTGTGATGAATCGGTGCGCTTAATTGGTACATCCTGAAATAAATAGAGAAAAAAAAAACAAAAACAAATTGAGTTAGACACAAACTGATCAGAGAAGAAAATATCAAGAGATTTCGAAATTATAAATAGATCATGATTAAAATTTAAACAAATTAAAAGTAAACAATTTGGGTAAAAAGTATAAAAATTAACAATTAGTAAATTTTAAACAAATAAACTTTATTCAAACTTTAGAATAATAAAATACAGAAATTAGATTAATATATCAACTGTAATCAACCACTTTTTCAAAAATTCCCAAATAAATTTTACAAATTCCCTTCTCTGTATAACTACAGAAAATAAGTTAATATCTCTAAGACCCTTTTATCTATTTAAATTAAATATCTCAAATTAAACAACTAAATTATTCCACAATAAACATAATTTCTTTATTTACATTTAAAAAACAAAAAAATTTAACAATACAAAATCTTATTTTTTTTATTTGTATATTTCTCGTAAAATAAGAATAAACGTTTTTATATTTTACTTTAATGAGAGCTGTTTTTTTTTTTTTATATTAAAAAAAACATGTAAAAAATAAAACCAAATAAAAAAGCAAATAAGTCAAGGTTATTTATTTAAAAGAAAAAATATATTTTTTCTGGAAATAAGCCCGCCTGGTTGTTGGTGTGTTTTGCGGTTTTAGTTATAGAAATGATAAAAGTTTAAGGTCTTTCCAAACGTTTTTACAAGATTTTAGCGGGAGATGAAGATTGCTATAATATAATAATTAAAATAAATATTATTATCAAATCTTTACCATCAACAATACCCCAGTAACACGGTGGCGGATTTTTTAAAAGAAACATTTTACAGTTATAGAGACAAAAGCCTCTATTATTGTCCAGGCTACAGACTATAATCTTGGCTATAGACAAACTATAGACCAAATTATAGATCAGGCTAGAAAGTTGACTAAAGAGTTGACTAGACCATAGACAAGACTACGGGCTAGACGATAGACCGGACAATAGTATAGACGATTATAAAATATAGACTAGAGTATAGATTACGCTATAGACTAGGCTATGGACTAGACTATAGACTAGACTATAGACTAGACTAGACTAGACTATAGACTAGACTATAGACTAGACTATAGACAGACTATAACTAGACTATAGACTAGACTATAGACTAGACTATAGACTAGACTATAGACTAGACTATAGACTAGACTATAGACTAGACTATAGACTAGACTATAGACTAGACTATAGACTAGACTATAGACTAGACTATAGACTAGACTATAGACTAGACTATAGACTAGACTATAGACTAGACTATAGACTAGACTATAGACTAGACTATAGACTAGACTATAGACTAGACTATAGACTAGACTATAGACTAGACTATAGACTAGACTATAGACTAGACTATAGACTAGACTATAGACTAGACTATAGACTAGACTATAGACTAGACTATAGACTAGACTATAGACTAGACTATAGACTAGACTATAGACTAGACTATAGACTGACTATAGACTAGATAAGACTAGACTATAGACTAGACTATAGACTAGACTATAGACTAGACTATAGACTAGACTATAGACTAGACTATAGACTAGACTATAGACTAGACTATAGACTAGACTATAGACTAGACTATAGACTAGACTATAGACTAGACTATAGACTAGACTATAGACTAGACTATAGACTAGACTATAGACTAGACTATAGACTAGACTATAGACTAGACTATAGACTAGACTATAGACTAGACTATAGACTAGACTATAGACTAGACTATAGACTAGACTATAGACTAGACTATAGACTAGATAGGACTATAGACTAGACTATAGGACTAGACTATAGACTAGACTATAGACTTAGACTTATAGACTAGACTATAGACTAGACTATAGACTAGACTATAGACTAGACTATAGACCTAGACTATAGACTAGACTATAGACTAGACTAAGACTAGACTATAGACTAGACTATAGACTAGACTATAGACTAGACTATAGACTAGACTATAGACTAGACGATAGACTAGACTATAGACTAGACTATAGACTAGACTATAGACTAGACTATAGACTAGACTATAGACTAGACTATAGACTAGACTATAGACTAGACTATAGACTAGACTAGACTAAGCTATAGACTAGACTATAGACTAGACTATAGACTATAGACTATAGACTAGACTATAGACCTAGACTATAGACTAGACTATAGACTAGACTTAGACTAGACTATAGACTAGACTATAGACTAGACACTAGACTAGACTATAGACTAGACTATAGACTAGACTATAGACTAGACTATAGACTAGACTATAGACTAGACTATAGACTAGACTATAGACTAGACTATAGACTAGACTAGACTAGACTATAGACTAGACTATAGACTAGACCAACGGTTCCCAAATGGGGGTCCGCGGACCCCTAGTGGTCCTTAGTAAAATCCTAGGGGGTCCGCGAAGACGAACGAAAAAAACCATGAATAAACAATATTCTGCTTTTATATGTATGTACAAATATCTCCAATTTTTGTGCAATAATCCCAAATTTATGGTGACTTTTTGAATTTTATTTTTTCGGTTGTTTATCAGGAAGAAGCTAGGCCCTACAAATTTATTGTATAACTTTTATAAAGTAAAGTACTGCGTGATTTGTAATTTTTATTTCCTGTATATGTACTGAAATAATGGTTTTTATTTCAGACAAATAATACTCTGCCTTACAATTAAATTAGGGATACTGGTATTCCGGAGTATGAAGTTCAATTCAAAGACAAGCTTATTACAGATTTAAGTTTATCAAATTGTAAGCAAAAGTGTTCTCGTTTGAAAAGACTAAAATTATATATTTCCAAAACAGAGGTGACTCTTTATGCATCTCTTCATAAATATTCCAATCCGACGTGATACACAGATTTTAACTTGATTTTGTCGACCAATACATATTATTAAATTAACATCAGAAAATCCATAGCGTTTCGTGTAAATATGTAGCCAAAAACCATGAAGTAAAATAATTCGTTGGTATTTTAAAATTCAAATTTAAGTTCCAAATTCACAGTACTTTAACAAAGAGTTCAAATCATATATTATGCGGATAACGCATTCCGCAGCAACATAGAAGAAGTCCAACTTTCTTATATTATTTTCCCGAAAACTTAGCTCACTTACTCAGTTCACCCTTTGCAATCGCAACAAATTCTTGAAACGTGACTCCTTAAGCACATGTGACAATATTTGATAAAGAAACCTTTTCGCTACCTTGAAGAAAAATGAACATGAAAGATCTCACGATCATAAAATTAAACATCATGTTAACATATCAACAAAGAAGTCATTCTATCTTCAAAACATGCAATTGAAAACCTATCTGAAATATTATATATTCTCAATGTACGGGAATATTTTATAGATATGACATCTCTACATTTATTAGACCTAGGGATTAATGAACTAGGTCAATTTTCGCATGGACAATTATTTAGAACAATAAGATATCAAAATATGTATGGGGGTCCGCGAAATTAAATAAGTTCTTCAAGGGGTCCGCGAAGTAAATATCTGTGGGAACCGCTGGACTAGACTATAGACTAGACTATAGACTAGACTATAGACTAGACTATAGACTAGACTATAGACTAGACTATAGACTAGACTATAGACTAGACTATAGACTAGACTATAGACTAGACTATAGACTAGACTATAGACTAGACTATAGACTAGACTATAGACTAGACTATAGACTAGACTATAGACTAGACTATAGACTAGACTATAGACTAGACTATAGACTAGACTATAGACTAGACTATAGACTAGACTATAGACTAGACTATAGACTAGACTATAGACTAGACTATAGACTAGACTATAGACTAGACTATAGACTAGACTATAGACTAGACTATAGACTAGACTATAGACTAGACTATAGACTAGACTATAGACTAGACTATAGACTAGACTATAGACTAGACTATAGACTAGACTATAGACTAGACTATAGACTAGACTATAGACTAGACTATAGACTAGACTATAGACTAGACTATAGACTAGACTATAGACTAGACTATAGACTAGACTATAGACTAGACTATAGACTAGACTATAGACTAGACTATAGACTAGACTATAGACTAGACTATAGACTAGACTATAGACTAGACTATAGACTAGACTATAGACTAGACTATAGACTAGACTATAGACTAGACTATAGACTAGACTATAGACTAGACTATAGACTAGACTATAGACTAGACTATAGACTAGACTATAGACTAGACTATAGACTAGACTATAGACTAGACTATAGACTAGACTATAGACTACTATAGACTAGACTATAGACTAGACTATAGACTAGACTATAGACTAGACTATAGACTAGACTATAGACTAGACTATAGACTAGACTATAGACTAGACTATAGACTAGACTATAGACTAGACTATAGACTAGACTATAGACTAGACTATAGACTAGACTATAGACTAGACTATAGACTAGACTATAGACTAGACTATAGACTAGACTATAGACTAGACTAGACTATAGACTAGACTATAGACTAGACTATAGACTAGACTAGACTATAGACTAGACTATAGACTAGACTATAGACTAGACTATAGACTAGACTATAGACTAGACTATAGACTAGACTATAGACTAGACTATAGACTAGACTATAGACTAGACTATAGACTACTTAGACTAGACTATAGACTAGACTATAGACTAGACTATAGACTAGACTATAGACTAGACTATAGACTAGACTATAGACTAGACTATAGACTAGACTATAGACTAGACTATAGACTAGACTATAGACTAGACTATAGACTAGACTATAGACTAGACTATAGACTAGACTATAGACTAGACTATAGACTAGACTATAGACTAGACTATAGACTAGACTATAGACTAGACTATAGACTAGACTATAGACTAGACTATAGACTAGACTATAGAC